TTAAAATACGCACTTGGATGGATCAAATCCCATACCGACAGCCACCGCAATCCCCCCCCACATACACATACACACACACCCCACAGGCCACAAGTCATCCATCACCTTGAACCTCATCAGCAGGCGCTTCTCGATGTTTCGGAACTGCACCGCGCGGTCCTCCAGCTGTGTACGGAGCTGCACCACCCGCTGCCGTACAGCAAAGTGCTGCTCCACAACCTCGAAAAAGTCCTCCAAGGGAAGGGCGTCCTCGTACGACACCGTAAAAGGCCCTTCTGGCGGTGGCGGCAGACCCGCCTCCGCTTCCGAGTAGTACTTGGCCAGGCGGGAGGTTAGCTCCTGCAGGTGTGTGTATATGTATGTATATATGTATGTGTGTATGTATGTATGTCAACATGAATTGAACTGAGCTACGAGAAGCAAGTACATACATACAGGTTGAAGAACAAGTCACAGCATGCAGAACTTTACAACGGTTAAGTAGGTATAGTCCAGGAATGGAGACATGGGGTAGACATGCTGAAAGATGTCTGTGTGTGTGTGCGTGTGCGTGTGTGTGCGTGTGTGTGTGCGTGTGCGTGTGTGTGCGTGTGTGTGTGTGTGTGTGTGCGTGTGTGTGTGTGTGTGTGTGTGTGCGTGTGTGTGTGTGTGTGTGTGCGTGTGTGTGCGTGTGTGTGTGTGCGTGTGTGTGCGTGTGTGTGTGTGTGTGTGCGTGTGTGTGTGTGTGTGTGTGTGTGTGTGCGTGTGCGTGTGTGCGTGTGTGTGTGTGTGTGCGTGTGTGTATGTGTGTGTGTGTGTGTTGCTGGGATTTCTGGTTTTCACAACACGAGCCGGGGCCGCATCAACGCAACATGACGGCAACAAACTACCGTTGATCTTTCAAATGTGCGCCGCCACTCCGTCCGGCTCACACACCCCTTGCTGGTTGCTTTAGACATCGACGGTTGACGATCTGGACATTAACCACCACAACAACAACCATATCTTTTACTATTACTATTATTAAATAATGGAAATCATAAAAAAAATTCCTATTCATTGTTATTGGACAATTTGTACGCCTGCATCACACGTTCTCCTTCCCCCCCTCTGCCCCCCTCTAAGGACGCAGATAATCAGTACCCTCCGCACCACATGTGTGTGTTTGTGCGTATGTGTATATGTAAACACGTCACGACTTCTGGAGTTCTGTGTTGCTCTTCAAATTTCATGCAACGGCCGTAACCCATACGTACCCCTGCGGATGCCAGGGCTCCAGTCAAAGGCTGCCCGAAGTAACAGCCATCGCAAAACACAAAACACACACACCGGGGAGTACGACCCCCCCCTCACCCCCCCCCTCACGCACTCACCCCCGCAATGAGCCACATGCCCTCTAGCATATCCGACTGGATGCGGTACCGCCCGCCCGCCTTGGAGACCAGAACGGTCACGTCACCGGCGCCCCCGTAGAACTGAAACGACATGACGGTGGCGGTGCCGGCGGCGGCGGGTCCGCCGCCTCCGCCCCCCCCAAGCCCCAGAGCCGCACCCGCGCTCATGGCGGCCGCGCCCCCCGTCAGCGCCTGAGGAGAGAAGTAGGCAGGAGGGAGGGAAGGGAGGGGGAAAGAGCGGGGGGAGTTCGGGGTGATATGGGTTTGGTGTGCATATGTGCATATGAAGCATACGTGCATATTTGCATATGTGCATATGTGCATATGTGCATATGTGCATATGTGCATACGTGCATATGTGCATATGTGCATATGTGCATATGTGCATATGTGCATATGTGCATATGTGCATATGTGCATATGTGCATATGTGCATATGTGCATATGTGCATATGTGCATATCTGAGCCATGTGGGCTGAATTGCACGCTGAATTGCACGCTAAATTGCACGTTGCACGGCGCTGTCGCAAGCGCGTACGGCATATCATAGCGCGTACGGCATAGCGTAGCATAACATAGCGCGTACGGCATATCACAGCATAGCATAGATCGTATATGCTTGCAGATCGCATAGGCTTGCAGATCGCATATGCTTGCACATCGAATGTGGCATATGCTTTCAGATCGCATCTGGCATATGCTCGCAGATTGCATATGCTTGCAGATCGCATAGGCTTGCATATCGCATATGCTTGCACATCGAATGTGGCATATGCTTGCAGATTGCATATGCTTGCAGATCGCATATGCTTGCAGATCGCATATGCTTGCAGATCGCATATGCTTGCAGATCGCATATGCTTGCAGATCGCATATGCTTGCATATCGTATATGCTTGCATATCGTATATGCTTGCAGATCACATATGATTGCACATCGCATGTGGCATATGCTTGCATATGAAGCATTTGTGCATATGAAACACATGTGCATATGTGCATATGAAGCATATGTGCATATGTGCATATGTGCATATGTGCATATGAAGCAGATGTGCATATGTGCATATGAAGCATATGAAGCATATGAAGCATATGAAGCATATGAAGCATATGAAGCATATGAAGCATATGAAGCATATGAAGCATATGAAGCATATGAAGCATATGAAGCATACGAAGAACAAAAATGCATATCGCATATGCTTGCACATCGAATGTGGCATATGCTTGCAGATCGCATCTGGCATATGCTCGCAGATTGCATATGCTTGCAGATCGCATAGGCTTGCATATCGCATATGCTTGCACATCGAATGTGGCATATGCTTGCAGATCGCATCTGGCATATGCTTGCAGATTGCATATGCTTGCAGATTGCATATGCTTGCAGATCGCATATGCTTGCACATCGAATGTTGCATATCATATGGTTCAATCCCCAGCGCGCGCGCGTCTTTTTTTTTTGTGCGCTTTTTTTTCTTTTTTTTTTCTTCGTATGCTTCATATGGACATATGCACATATGCACATATGCTTCATATGCACATATGCACATATGCACATATGCACATATGCACATATGCACATATGCTTCATGTGCA